ACGTGCAAACCCAAACCCAAACCCAAACCCAACCCCAAACCCAAACCCAAACCCCAAACCCAACAGCCCCAAATAAAATATACTGGAGAAAAATCTAGCCAATTACCAAGCAGGATGACCTGATAGCCCATCAATATTGGCGTCATCAAAACTATGACATATGGTTAATTTTCAGTGTGATAGTACTGCTAATTGTAGTTTAACAATTTTTCATGTGTTTTTTTCCAAAGAGGGAATGAGCTAGCGAACGTCTGCTGGTTCCAATTATCTCCCCTCCTTTAGAAAATGAGTGGATGACTACCTAAACACAGTAATAACATAAGTTGGCATCATGATTGCTTGAAGTCTAAATAGCCAGTTAATGGGTATTTTATAAAAATTATACCATTTAACGCACAATTTAATAACTTCTCCATAAGAACAGATTCTGAGCATTGAGTATTCTATTACTCATACTTATAATTACTTATTTCAATAATCAAATCTAATAACTTTATAATATCATCATCTTATTTTAATACGTTTGGTAATTTGTTCAAAAATTATTTACTTTTTTGTGAAAATCCATGATCAAAAGTATGGTTATGAAAATAGATACAATCCTCCAAGTGCTTGGCATTCAACTTTGACAACTATTTACTCATGGAAAACTGAATGTTGAATTTCTTAAAATCTAATCTAAGTAATCAATTTATTATATAATAATTTGTATTATAATCATCATATGATTACATTTATAGCATTCTCTTGAATTCTCAATTTCCTAAAATAAAATTTTTTTTGAATATTATATACAAATTCATACATTGAATTACAAACTTGAATTCTTTTTGTATTGATTTCATCGATCAAGCATTTATAATTAAATTCAATATCATAATGAATTCTAATAATGACAACATTATTACCTGACAATTTATTATCCTAACTATTAACATGGGTTATAAATAGTATAATTGTAAAAGTATAACCATTTAGAAATAATATGCAAGTTATATAAATCCCAGTTTAATAAATACAATTTATTATTAAAGATATATATTACTTCTAAGATTTAAAAATACATAACTTAAAAACTTCAATATAATTAACTACTATTTATTGTTTAAAACTCTTACTATATCACTTTTTCTTGTTATCTGATATCTTTAAGTGTTCAATAAATTACAGACTTATTTTGGACATTAGTTTATTTAGATTCAAATAATGGCATTATTAAATAAATCTCGATATGATATCATATGAAATTGATATTAATTGGAGATGACAAGTTACAATTTCATTATCATTTTAGTTTATGCTTTAAATTTGATAATAATCGGTTTCTCTTTAATATTAGCTTTTTTAATTAATAAATAAAATGGGTAACTACTTTAATCAACCAGCCAGTCCAAATTAAGCATTATTACAATTTTTAAGATAACTTCCTTTGTCTGAAATACAGAAGGTTTCCAAATATGTGTAATAAAATTACCCAGCAACAAATGTTTTGTCTTTAGGGGAATTTTTTGATGTTTATCATGACATCCTTAAATAACATTGTGGTGAAATGTTCGAGACTCTAGAGAATAATCATAGTACAGATGGTTTAACTGATATATATGAGAGTCAAGCAGTTTTAGTAATTGATTCAATAACAATTAGATTATATTTTCTGACACTGATTTTGCTACCAAGGTCAAGTATATAAGCCAAGTATTCGATTTGGACAAGTCTTAAAAGCTTGAAAAGATTGAACTTATTATGATTTTCTAAACTGCAATCAGAGCATTATGTAAAATTGTCAACATGAAACCACCTGGATTTACTGATATCGAATATTATGTTGAAGCCATTTTCACAGAAATGGACAAAAATCTAGATCGTACTATCTCTTATGAAGAATTATATTCATGGTTGGATAACAATTATCAACTTTAGGATTTTTTATTAAAATACGCCTTGACTTAGACTAATCAAAATGCTAAAAGAAGAACTCAAGAGATTTTCAATTCTAAAGCCTTATTCAATCCAGATCAAGATCAATGGATTTAAGACTACATTCATTAAGCTGAAGAAAGCTATTGCTAACTTATCCAAAGAAAAAAACTAGTATCCGATAGGGTCAAGGATGAGATCAATTACGCCTGGTCAGCATTCAAGGCCACTGATATCAATAATGATGGTTCAATCTCTGTGAGAGAATTATCTTACTTAATTTATGGATTTGATGGAACCGTAGTTAAAGAAACCAAAAAGAGATTTGGATAATTGGATATAGATAAAAGTGGAAGCATTTCTTTAAAAGTATTTAACTAAGCAATCATATTAGGAATGGTTTAATTACTTATAATTAGATTAAGGAGTAGAAATATGTAAATCTATTGTAAAAAGATATTTTCTTAAAAGGGATACTAACAATCTAAGTAGTCTTAATAATCAGTAATCCTGTTAAGTATTAAGAGACACTCTCTCAAATGATGGGTTTGAATTATACTTTAAAGGTTTTGAAAGTTATATTAATGAACATTCGACCTTGGATAAAGTATTCATATATATATATTAAAGATGTCAATTTAATAATTATAAGATTTTGTAGAAGGTCCCATGAAGAGAATTATTTAAGATAAGCAAGAACTTATGGAAAAAGAAAAGGAAAGAAAATAAGCATAAAATGAAAAAATAATATGAAAAAATTTTAATAATCATATATTGTATTATTTGATTTGAATTATTATTGATATCGAATGAAGTTTCTTAAATTTAAAGAGGAGATTTACATATTATTCCATTTGAATCATTGATTTAGAAATATTAAACTATAAGATTCAGAAGTTTTATTGGGATTTTAATATATTTATTTTATATTGTTAGTTACTTATTTTAAATTTTAATAGAGGAGTAAACATTTCTTTTAAGAATATTTAAATTTAAAGATAATAGTATTATTAACTATATGATTTATCTTAAATAGAAGTAATTATCTTCCTATTGATTTTTATTACAAAAAATCAAACAATTAATAATCACAT